ATGCTTTCATTTATCTGTTATCTCCAGGTCGAAATACAGTTACAAGAACATGCCAAAGAACAAAGGTAAATAGCAAAGAAAGTCAGCGCTTGTTTTTAGCCTTTTCCACTGTCTCCATAAAATTAGAAATGTTTTGATGTCAACAAAAAAGAGCAGAGTAATTTGTTATACAGAGAGTGTTTCATGGTCGGGGCTGTGAGGCTGCGTGGTTGACCCCAGCTGTTGATTAAGTTTGATATGAGCAGAGAAGGGGAAAACACTGCTTTGAAAGTATAATGCGCCAAAAGATTAATTGCTTCCTGTTTGAGCGCTACAAATGGGAAAGATGTAGATTAGACTCAAAATAAAAGAGGTCCATAGAATACTTAAGGCAAGTTTAGAATTTAGTGGAGCATAATCACAGTACTGATCTTATTATTAGCAATCCAGACAATTCAAAGAGATATGGAGTTCACGGTTTGATTTATGAGCCATGTGAAGGAGGTTTTTATCAAGACACTTTTTTTTAGTTTGTAATTTTCATTTTTAATTATTAAAGGAGTCAAGTAAGGACAATGTCATCATATTTTTGCAATAAAAATACATGTACCTGAATAAATTTCCAAATTTTGAAGCAATCCTAGCAAAAAGCAATTACATTACTCTTCACCTTCAAATTACACCTACATTTTATGCTATTTTCTGATCTATGTCACAAACCTAGAGTTGTGTTTTGTTTCATTCACACAAATAGTATTTAACACACAAACCATGCATATTTAGGCTGTGTTTTCCTCCAAACAGAAAATGCTTCATCCCACCTTGTGATGTCACGTGGTATACAGGAAGTGCTCCACGGTGTTTTTAAACTCCTTACACCTTCACTAGAATCATTTGGACAATTTCAGCCCCGGAATTGCCAATCTATACTGAAAAACCTTCATTTCATGACATCACAAGGTGGAACAGAGTATTTTGACCATTGAAGATGTAAACTATACGAATAATATAAATAAAGGATTACTCAAACATGTGGGAATGAAACAAAACACAACTCTAGGTATGTTTTTAGGACGTAACAGCGTTACAACATGGCTTAAACAATACAATAATACATTTTGGGTAATATAGAACCTTCAGTGGAAATCGGCATTTTATTCTTCAATATTGAGTGAAAACCCTGACACTAAAATTCTGTGATATTTCTTTTAATGGATTGAATATTGCCAGCTCATTTTTACATATCTACATCATAATTGATCGTTTTTTTTTGCCTGCAGCTGTGATCTGTAAGTCTTGTACTAGTCATGCATGTTGACATTTATAAGAACAAACCACAAACAGACTCATTTGACTTCTGTTTCTAATGACTGTGACAAAGAGCTTTTGACAAGCACGACTAACCCATACAGACAGCTGGACATCTGCTGTGGAGATAGTGGTGGCACATTGTAAGGCCTATCTTCTGTTGAGGCAGCCCCAGAGTGGAGATAGAGGAAAACAAATCCCCTGTATGCACTATAAGAAAGAGGGGCATCCATCACACTGACAGGGCCTATTTCCACCATGTTAACTTAGTTTAGAGCACGAGATGAGGGAGAGGAAAGCTGCATGAGGGGGATATGGATTAATCACCTTTCATTATTTTCGATAAGGTTAAGTAAGATAAAGGTCTCTCAATGATTTATCAATAAGAATATCTCATTTGTTTTTCCAGCACGAATATCCTAACACTCTAATATCTATGTTCAGTATAGAAAACAATATATTTTGTTTTTTAATGGAATTTTCTTCAATTCTCTAGGGTACTGGCATAGACTGTATATATAATTGGACATAGCTAACCCGCTGGGGCACCGTGTTTCAAATAGGAAGTGAAAATGGGGGTGCTCTCTCTGCAACTGCTGCTGTGAGCCTCGTCATTTTGGTCTTAAAATGTTCGCGTTAACCCGCTCTACATGATCCTGGTGTTTGTATTTAGCTGTTTTGTCCTTAAATCAAGACATGAACATTAATAACAGACAGATCAGGCACAGTCTTTCCCTGAGGTTGCTCCTTTGCATTACCAACAGGTTTGATTGACAGCGTTGCTAAGCTCCTACTCCCTGCTAAACTAGTGGTGCGGGCTGGAAGGGGCATTACTTTCAACAGCCTTGCTCCAGATTGGCTCTTCGGGTGCTATGATACTCAAGGTTGGAATTTGAATTTATGAAACTCAGCTCCAAATTTGTAGCCAGGCTGGCACCACCTAGTGCCTCCACTCAATTTCATTTCTCTCCAGCGACTAGGTCAGGAATCGGAATACACTAGACGGTTTGCAAGAACCCCGGAAGTGCGAGTTCAGGCACCAGCCAATCAGTGAAATGCCATATATTCTGTGTTGGCAATGATTCCCGAGATCGAGGATTTAAAACTGGAACAAAGAGAATGTTCAGCGAATTTTATCAAGGGGAAAGACGTTATTGCGCTTCTTCCTACAGGATTTGGGAAAAGCTTAACATACCAGTTGGCCCCGTTAGCGGCGCATTACATATGTCATGACCAAATAGCAGTGATTAATTAAATTTTAAAAAAGTACCTGCCTACCACTGAGCAAACAAAATCTAATGCTGCGAGGTCTGACAGTTTCCATGAAGTGAAATCAGCTGATGAACCAAGCTACCAAATTCACCCTTAGAACTGCAAACCTCGACAAGCTTCATTTGACTGGAGCTGAACGCTGTGGGTGATGATACACTCACTTAGTCCATTTTTTTACACAGTCTATGGGTAGTGGACGGAATAAATGATAGAAAATATCATGATTTTCAATTCTATTTTGCATTTTGTAAAGTAAGTGTGCTTGGTCACTCATCTATCTACATATTTATCTTTCCTGAACAAGACAGACAATTTGATAATTGCCATTTACTACGAAAAAATGCTCACATTTCCTGTTCTAAAGCATGAATATTGCTCTGAACCACTTGCTTTTACTGATAGGGAATTGGCTGTGGACCTGCCAATAAAAATCCCCAAGCATATCATTGATGATTAGAGACTGACTCTCAATTAAAACGTGATTAAATGCAGAGCCCTAGTTAGTGGTAATATTGCATGTAACCATAATATTTTTCATAATGCTAGCAGAATGTGACACAATGCCCGTGTGGATAATAAAATTTCAAAGTGAACTGTAAAAGGTTATGGGCTGAAGTTTTCGCAGCTCGCAAAGTTTTAATCACATACTCTATCCCTGGCATTTTAAAAAGTAAGTCTTTTCAAACAGTAGTATGCACAGTATCCACAGGGAGGCTGCCACAGGTTTCCTTCAGAATCTGTCCCCCCTTTCTATTTCTCTGTAAGGTTATTCTGTGTCTGGCAGCTCTCAGCATGACGTCTTCTCATAAGTACAATGATTAATCATAATTTCCTGGCCTCCATTTTCTTGTCCCACATTTATTGTTAAATCTATATCTCTCAACAAAGCCCATGTCTCCCTATACCCCGGAGTGCGCTGCCAGATACCGATGTTTGATTTCACATTTATTCAGCGATGTGTATATTTTTGAACCTATACAGAAAAAGTCCCCGCAATTACAGAAGCAGAGCACGCCGGTGTAGACAAGCAATCATTAAGTCCTCAATCACTCACTCTAGAGCAATGCTTCGCCACCTAAAGTCTCATTTTGCTTCGAGAGCATTTGCATAATATAGCCACCCTATAGTTTTCATGTCTGCATTTTCACTTGTGAGACATTCAGAGTCACCCTCGATAATGTATGTGACCATATGCAGAACACGCCTGCTCTTTTCTATTGGAAATTGTCAGTATAATAATTTAAAAAGATGTGAATATATAGTTACTTTGCAGTGACCTCATGCTGGGAGTGTTGTACATGTACAGTATGTGTATGGTGGGATGTTTGTTAGTTACCATAGTGACACAATGCACACCTTAGCAAACACAGTCAAAAAGGTTTTTAGGTATGCAAACTCAAGGGGAAAAAAAGGATTTAAACAACAAATTATCCTATGATCTATACAAGTGTTGAAGGTCATGTTTACGTGTTTGATTTTTAACAAAAAGGTGAGAGTGACAGTGGCTTGTTTAACAGTTAAAAAAAAGTTATTTCTGATCAGATTGTGTTGATATAAAACTCAGATTACAGTTTAACAAACCTCAGACAGAGCAGTGCTTACAGTTAGCATCACACCCCCAGCGAAAGTTGATGACATCAGCTGCAAAGTATCAATAATGCTTGTACCATTTTATGAGAGAAGGTTTATGGAGCAATAATTTGTTTAGTGGCAGCATCTCTCTGGCACTGAGGCTAAATGTTCCATAGTTCCCATTCATTTAGTTTAATCCAACAACTGTGACTCTGGCAGGGTAAACACTGAGAAATTAGCATTAAGAGGGTTTCAATGAATTTTCAATGCATTTATTTAAAAGTGCATGGTTTTATTCTGCCTGCTGTGGCATAGACAGAAATAAATATGGCCTATTCCAACATCACATCAACACATTTCAAGATCTAATTTATCAGTCACTTCCACTACTTTGGCTAATTGTGTGTCCATCAGTCAAGTCAGTGTTGTGGTTTTTTAAAATTCGCATTGTGGTATATAGGCCTGTCACGATGACAAATTTTGAAGCATGATATATTGCTACAGAGAAATATAACGATAAACGATAATATGGAAACTACTTTATGCCACTGACATAAAACAGGATAATCCCAGTAAACCAATTTTGACATATACAGAGAGTATTATTACAAAGCCTGAACTGCAACAAATAAATGGCAGAATTAACCAATAATTAACCATAGCAGTTATTTTTCTACTCTCTGCATCTCAAATATTATCTTAATAAATAAAAATGGTTAAAATATCCCTACTTTTGCAAAGAAAAAGTACCCACGATAAATACTGAGCCCCAAAATATATTCCAGATTTCTTGTCGATATTGTAATTATCGTGGCAGGCCTAGCGGCATAAGCACTTTTATGTTCCACTGTTCTTCCCCCTTTTCTTACCTTCTTCTGGTCTCTCCATCTCTGCTCCAGCTTGGCGTCCAGGCGGTTGGCAGCAGTGGCCCACTGTTGAGCGAGGCGACGGATTCTGCGCTTCATAAAACTCAGAGACTCTTTCCCTGTTCCCACTTGGTCCAATAATACGGAGAGGTCTGTCCGGAAAGCAGCCTGGAAAAAAATTTGGACAATCAGCATAAAAAAGATAAGTTTAAAGGGCCCATATTACACCATTTTCTGATCTATGTTATAAAGTTGTTTCCTAATCACAAACATAGGAGTTGTGCTTTGTTTCATTCACACACACACACACACATTTAACACACAAACCCTGCATATTTAGGCTGTGTTCTTCTTTCAAACAGAAAACACCTTGTGATGTCATGTGGTAATAGAGGAAGTGCTCCAGTGTGTTTTTAAACTCCATACACCTTCATTAGAAACATAGTTTCAGCCTAGGAATTTCCCGTCTCTACTGAACTAAAAGTAAAAGGAGCTGTTAATGTGAAAACTAACACTAAAGGACTAATAATAAAAGATTACTCAAACAAACTAATTAAATAACACACATCTCCTTACTGAGGAGGTGACAACATTATAAAATGGCTTAAAGCTCACAAGAGTCAATTTTGTGTAATATAGGACCTTTAATAGAAATAAAATAAGATAGACTGATGCAATCTGCAGGACATGTTTGACTCATATAAGCGTTTTCAATCTTCTAGTACATTGTTTAAATAAAAGGCATTTTCTCTGGTGACGCAACATTTTGCCTGTCTGTGCAAACCATCTAGGGAATTGTGTTATGAAAACTACTCTGGAAATGTATTTGCCATTTGCTCTGTAGAGATAGGATTTATTTTTCATTCTGGGAAATAATAATGAATACCTTTAAGCAGTGCATTTTTCAGATAGAAATACAAATATTTTTCTCTAAACTGCCTTGGTGAACAGCAGGAGAGAGCAGTAAAAAGGAGGAGAAGTTGGAAAAAAATGCACGCAGAGAATTTACTTGAAATATAACTTTATCTGAAAAGAAATAAAGCCTCAAGCACAGCGTATCCATAAGAGGCTGATATACCCAAGAGGCCTACACTAAAAGGCCAGCTAGTACAAGGAAATTACACATTTATTTGAATTGGTTCTTGAACAATAACAATAATTAAAAAGTAATTAGCAAACTGTAAATGAGTTTTGTAGCAATTGTTGGTTGGCCTAAACCCAGGCACACTAAAGTAGATGGATACTATTATGAAATGGAGAGATGCATTTATTGCAATTATGCATTTAGTTTTGTTAGCCAGATTAATTTAAAGGACCCATATAGCGCTACTTTCTGATCTGATCTATGTTATAGTGTTGTTTCCTTATCACAAACGTAGCTGGAATTATTATTTTTGTTTCATTTACACATGTTTAACACAAACTCCACATATTTAGGTTGTGTTATGTGGTAATACAGGAAGTGCTCCACTTTTTAAACTCCATACACTTAGAATCATTTAGATAATTTCAGTTGAATTGCAAATCTGCTTAATAAAAGGTAAAAGAAGCTGTTAACTTGAAAACTATCGGCTCATGACATCAGAAGGTGGAAAAGAGCATTTTGAGCTTTGGAAAGGTAGACAGACTAATAATAAATAATTACTCAAACATGTGTGAATGAAACAAAACAACTCTGGGTGTGTCTTTGATGAGGTAACAGCATTCTAACATGGATTAAAGCTCTCTGTATTGTATTTTGTGTAATATAAGACCTTTAATATTGGATGTGTCATTTTGAGGAAAGCCGAGATAATGAGGTGTTGCTGAAATGGTGCATCAAAGTGAAAAACTAAAATGTTACTGACTTGTCTCTTGGAAGCTTTAGTCTGGTGGTGAGTAAACTGAGTTGGCAGGCTGCTGTGGTTCCTCCAGGCCAGAGGGGGGCAGAACCACTCCACCTCACTCAGGTAAATCAGGAAGGAGCAGTCAGAGCCATCCACACCATAGAAGGCGTAGCAAGGGTCCGAGGTCCAACGAGCACGCATCCACTATGACCAAACAGACAAGGACAATTTAAAGACACATCGAGATAAACTGTTCAAGAACATAAAGCTAAGATGTCTGTGTGTCCCTCATTTGTCCAGGAGGGTTACTCACATACACTGTATAAAGAAGTTGACTAAGGGAGACCTATAGGAGTGAATTTGGAGCTGAGTTCCATATTAGGAGTAGGACTTTATTTATGAACAATTAGCGAAATAAAAACACCAGAATCATGTGGGGTGGGTTAATACCAAACCCCGGTGTCTCAAAAAGGCCGCCCATTCAAGTCAATGGGCCGAGCTCAGTGGCGCATGATTCCAGATTAGCCTTTAGCCCGGCTAGGTGCTTCCAGTGGCTGTGGGCCGATTGAGCATCTGCAGTATTGCTCTTTTCTCCCGTGGCCTCACGTTGACTAGTCAGAGCGAGAGGAGCTAGAGTGGAGTCGGAGCTCATGATTATAAAGCGTTTTTTAAGACAACTGAAGGATTTTGAGCTGAGAAAAAGATTATGATATAAAAAGCAGACTGGGCCTGGGTAGTGCTTGAATGGAAGACCGCTAGGAATTCCAGGTGCCACAGTGGGGCGCCAGTGGTCGTTGTGTCCTTAGGCAAGACACTTTACCCACATTGCCTAGTATGAAAGAGGTGTGAGCGTGAGTGATGGTGGTGGTCGGAGGGGCCGATTGGCAGCCTCGCTTCCGTCAGTCTGCCCCAGGGCAGCTGTGGCTACAGTAGTAGCTTACCACCACTGAGTGTGGACTGAATAATGAATTGTAAAGTGCTTTGGGTATCTTGAAAGGCGCTATATTAATGCTATCAATCAATCAAAAATAGGTAAAAATTTCCACAAAATCCAACATTTTTGAAAGTTGTAGGTGTCCTGTCAGCTGAACACGAGCAGTTTGTGATTACATTGCACTCTATGAGAAAAATCCTGTCTCAGCCCAGGGGATTTTTTCTGCTGAAGTTCCAGTGAGTGGCCACTACGTCAATTGGAGGCAGCTACAAACAGAAATACCCTATCCAGTTATTTTAATAGATTCATGGTTAATATGAACATTTTAAGACAAAAATTATGAGGCTCACTGCAGCAGTTCTGTAACTGCTGCAGTGAGAGGGGTGACAATTTTTCTTTGCAAAGACATTTTGCCAGAGTCGATGGAGCCGGAAGTGCACCAATGCTCACTTCTTTTTTGGAAGATGGCGGCTAGCGGGTAAGCTGTGTCCTTTTATATCTACAGTCTATGGTTCCACAGCAAGAGAAAATGTTATTCTGTCAGTGTCAACAAAAGTTTTGAAGTGAATATGTTTCACCAATCAAGTGGCTTCTTCAGTTCTGACTGAAGATCAGTGAGTCACTGACTTATATCTGTCCAAAGAGAGGAGCTAACACACCAGTTTCTATGCAGTATCTGTTACATAAAGCTAAGCTGAGACTTACATCAACTTTACCAGGACACTCTGGGTAGCGTGGATCTCTGGGAACTTCACACTGGCTGGTTGACCCTTCTCTCACTGTTGATCAAAGAGAAAAAAGTTTGAAAAATCATAAAATAATACCACCACTGCTATATTGCTACAAGTTCACTTTTACTAAACAATAAGTGTGTGTGTGTGTGTGTGTGTGTGTGTGTGTGCGTGTGTGTGTGTGTGCATGTGTGTGTGCATGTGTGGGTGTGTGTGTGTGTTTATGTGTGTGTGTTTCTTCATTGCTAGCTCATTACTCCATAATCTTTGCTGCTCATTTGGCCTTAATGTGAGTTCTTATTCTCCAGTGCAACAGCATTATCTCTGAGATCATTTAGCAGTACATGTTGCGTGTTACAGCCTCTTTCAGACTTTAGCCTTAGGTTAATTTCAATTAATTCAGAAAATGATTGTACACGTACTGACCCCTGCATTCAAAGGAGCACAGTATAACTCACATTAATAGACTTTCTCCATTTAGCTGAGAACGTTGTAAAGCCATATACTTTCTCTGGTTCTATGATTCTGACATATGAGCAGTGATGGTCAATAAATCTGCTCTTACTCTGCACATATGGGCTGTTCACTGGAGCTAACACATTTGTACTTTATCTCAAATATCTGGGGGTCTCAGGTCCTCCTCTGTACGACTGTATGCACTACATTAATTGCTCCAGTGGCTAAGTTAACTTCCTCTCTTCGACTGGGACATTGTGAGACTGATGGAGCAGGGAAAGACAGACATATCACACGGTAATAGGCCAATCCAGCCTCAGTGTGCAGTCCTGTCGTTCAAAGTATTGCCTCGCACACTTCATTTTATTTTCTCTCCAAACCAACAGATTTGCCTTCTCCCTGGGTTCTGTCTCTTTCCATTTGCCTAATGAAAAAGAGACATTCTCCACATAAGTCTTCCCTGGGGTTTTTTACTCTCAACCCAAACACTGCCACTTACAAATGGAGTTTCCACAAATATGATTACAATTACGACCACGGGCACAACGCTTTACAGGCCAATACACGTAGGCCAGCTGTCTTGAAAGATGAGTGATTATGCAATGTAAATACTTAAGTTGATTCAATATGCAAATGACTGCGCAAAGAAGTGGGAATGTGCTACAGTGACCCAAATATAATGGGATATTCATGGATTTCAGGTGACTGCTTATAGAAGCCATTTTGAACACTCCTGACCATTTAAATGTTAATCTATGGCAACGAAGCTAATGCATCAGCACTCTGAAATCCATGGATTGAAGATGATAGTAGTACTAATAGAAATGTAGGAGTGGACTAATAGAAATAATATATTAGAATAGTAGTAATATAGACAGTGTTGGGAAATAACTGAATATATGTACTGAGAGTATGTATTCTGAATTCTAATTTTGAGTGACTGCATTCTGGTACAGTTACTTTTTCATTTCATTACTTTTCTAAATTCAAAGGAATACATGGCGGTACTAGTTCACTCAATTAAGAATCCAAACTGCAAAGAATTTGTGAGAAAAAAATTTAAAACACTGCTCTTGTGGTGAATGCAAGTGTGATTTTTCCTTCTCTCATCAGTGATAAATAAAATAAATAAATATAAATAAAGTAAATAAATGCATAACAAACGGTGAAACAAATATAAAGCCATTTTTAATCATAAGTTTCAGATTTCCACTAATTTAGCAACCCTGTGTGAAAGTATTCTAAGAATTCAGAATACAGTACTCTGATTGGAACATGTATCAGAATACAAAAAAAAAAAAAAATCTATTTTAATTCAGGTATTTAGTATTCTGTAGCATTACAATTTGAAAGTATTAGTCCCTTCATTGAGTATAGTACATATTAAAGGTTCTGCCTACATGAGCTAATATGATTCTTCCTGCTTCTATTACAACTGCGATTACAACCATAGTCTCTATAATAGCAATGCCATACTATATAATAGCAACTATAGTGGTCAATAATCCTTACTTATTCATCTCTCTATAAAACAAGCTGCAGCCGCCTGAGGGAAGCCATTTTCTTTGCTCTTTCCTCTTGATATGCCTCATTCAAGTCGGACTATAGATAAATACAGTGAGTTGTATGATAATGTATTCTGCCACTAGCGCTTCAATTCATCTGTGATTAGAGAAACCACAATGGCGCATCCACTGTGCCATTGTACATGCAGCAGACTATATAATGTAACGTATAGTGGACAAGTAGGGACACAAACTTATCTATTATAAATTAGGAAGTCTACTTACCTAATAGATCAATAGATTAAATTAAAGGTGCAGTGTATAACTTTTATGGTGGACTTTTCTCCATGAAGATGCTATTGCTTTGTCAAAAATATTTCACAATGTGCTTTAAACCTTTCTATTATCATGGAGACCAAACCAAGCCAAGTTATTGATCAGATCTCTGGAGAGGCAACCCCGCTCATAGTCAGAATGCCGGTTTTTCAAGGTATTTTAAATAATACAGCCAACTGTAATTTAATAAATGTAAGGTAGATCTGTTTAATGCCATACTGAGGAACATTTGAAGCAAAATAATAAGATATCAATAGAAACAAAAAAGAATTAGTAATTTCTTTGTAGATGTTGCCTAAATGTTCTAAAAAATTTTATAATTACATTTTTGTCCATGTTTGTGAATGATAATTAAAGATGTGTTAACGAGCAGGTAACTTTTAGTAGGAAGTGTTAGTATATATATATATATTTTTAGTTTATTAAACATTTACAAATGATTTGTAAAGAAGCCTGGTTGATTGATACTTTGCAGTGGCATCACGCTGAAGTGTTCTACATGTATGTGTGCTGCGGATTGTTTAGCAGTTACCACGGTGACACAATTAACACATTAGCAAAAACGCTGTGAAAAATAGTTTTAATATTAAAAAATAATAATAATACAAAATGGATTAAAACAACATATTTTCAGGAACATTTGATCAATATGAATATTTATTTTATTTTTATTTATTTATTTATTATTTATTTGAGACAGGGACAGTGCACAATTTTTATTCATGGTCCTGTTTAGGAGGGGTTTTTTGTTATTTTATGTGTGAAAGAATTATTTAGCAGCACAAATGAGCTCACTTGTTGCAGTTCAACTAAGTATACTCTTTCTGGTCAGGTTGTGTTAAAATAAAAATTAGATTAAGTCTTAACAAGCCTCAGACAGAGCAGAGCCTACAGTGAGCATCAGAGAAGGTTGATGACTGCAAAGTATAAATAAAGTGTTACTGAGAACTGTAGCATTAAAAGCTTCAGGATTGTGGTCATGGTTTAATGCGTGTAAGCGTTTACTTTTGTATGGTTAAGTTTAGACACAATAAATTTTGATTAGAGTAAAACAAACTGAGATTAAAGCCTAACACTGCACTGAGTTAAAAACATGAATACTTTAAAGTTGAAACTGAACAGGGTAATTCTTAAGTTCCATGTTTGATGCTGCTGCTGTCAGGAATGATTTGTGTCTCTGGTGAAAACAAGCATTTAAAAACACATTTGCGTGTTGGGGCTGTGTGCACATCGCTGCTGTATTCTTTTATTTAACAGCAGTCGCTCCAACACAAGCTGACAGATGCACACAAGTCCAGCTGTGTGTGCGTTTCATGGAGCATTTTTTTCTCACTCAAATCAACCACTGTATTTCATACCATGTTTGAGTTATAATACTCAGTTGTGAGACTGTACTTCATATTTTAGAGCTGGTGTTTTGAGAAAGACTAGTGTGGTATCACAGTGAGACACTTCCCTTCTATGTTTAGCACAAGCAGTGGTGGAAGAAGTACAAAATTTTATTACTTAAGTAAAAGTATCACATGCAAAAATCTACTCAACTAAAAGTATCTCAAGTAAAAATGCACTTAAAGAGTAAAAAGTAAAAGTATTTCACATAGATTTTCAGGTCTATTTCAGATAAAACTTCAAACAAAGTGATTTTGATAAAGATTTGTGCTGAATTTTGTTCAGCAGAAACAATTGAATTAATATATTTTTTCTACCTGTTTTATTTGTATATTTCAATAAACCTTTTTTTCTTGTAGTGGAGTACAAAAGTACATATACCTGTTTTCAAATGTAGTAAGTAAAAGTAAAAGGTATCCACATAAAATTAACTTAAATTTGAGGAATCTGTACTTTACTTAAGTAAGCCGCATGTGCAGTGATTTGCATATAGAATTAGAATAACATTTATGTTGTCTGACCTTCATGCTTTTCATGTTTGGGATCCAACTTTGGTTTCTAATTTTCTGGTGACTTAGTGTTTTATCTAATCAGGACATCCACAGTAGCAAAAGAAAGGATATCAGCAATCACCTGAAGTTATCTGCATGATCAAAAACAAAGGGACCAGGACAGCTCTGAAAATCACAATGGGACTTCCCTGGTTAAATAAAAGTTGTAAATATAATGAAATAACTATTAATTCACAAATGTATGAATTACCTCTGCCTTGGACAATGCTGTTCTGCAGGATCTGCTCCACTCTGTTGGCCATGTTGGACACATTTTGGGCTATAGCTTGGATTCTCTCCACCAGACCAGCTGGTTGAATTCTGCAAAATAAAGAGGGCATGAATGAGCACAATAGATGACAGTGGGCTGCTTTCCCAGGACCTTTACCACAGACAGAATATACCACTGTTAATCATTAGTCACATATGATCCCTTCTTGTCACGATCATTTTGAAGTGTGATATATTGTTGAAGTAAATATAGATGATAAACAAAAGCAGAATTATCCCCCAAAAAGTACTGTTAAATGTCCATTGTGTAACTTTTCCGGTGGAGGGTCTGTCTTTTTTTTTTTTATTTTTTTTTTTTTTTTTCATGGAGACATTCTTGCTTTTTTCTGGAATTGTCTATTTCACAGTATGGTATTAATTCTCTCTATCTTCATGGAATACAAAACAGACCAAGTTACTGGTCAGATCTGCGGAGAGGCAACCTCGCTCAGTCAGAGTCAAAAAGAAAGTTTATCTAGGTAATTATTAACAATAAAACAAAAAACACTTGTAACTGAATAAATGTAAGGTATAATGTCATACTGTGGAACATTCCAGACAGAGCAACTCAATTCAACTTTATTTCCAGAGCACTTTAAAAACAACACAGTTGACCAAAGTGCTGTACACAAATATATAACAAACAGTGACAAATACAGTGACAGGTACAGGTAAAATATATTACAAATACAGGTAAAAAGTCAACCCTCAAACTGTGCTAAAAGCCAAGGAAAAAATATGAGTCTTTAGTAGGGACTTAAAAACAGGCAGTGAGTCAGTCAATGATATATCCGTAGAAACAAAGAGGTGATGAACCCCCAACCAAAAAGTTACACCTTTAATTGTACATGTGTGTACAATTTATAGACTGTATATTTGAGTAGTAAACACCCTAGTCATTCCAAATCGGAAGTTCACATGAGGCGCTTCCAGCCCCTACTGACCCTGGCTCCCATTGACTTACACTGGAATATTGTCATCCCTCTCTCTGTAACTGCTGCTGTGAGCCTCATCATTTTGGTCTTAAAATGTTTGTATTAACCCTTTATGTGAACTTTACGTGATCCTGTTTTTTTTTTTTTTTCATGCCATTTTTTCAATTTAAAAAATTCCTATTCATAATATAAAGCCTGGCTCCAAATTCGCCTCTGTAACCATGACCATCGTGAGCTTCACTGGAGCTAAACGCTATGGATCACATTTGCTTATTCCACACTTTTATGGTACAATTGTAAAGAAAACAAAAATGGCAAAATACAAATAACAGAATACCACACTTACATTCAAACCTCTAAATCTAATCTCACCGTTGAACCGAAAAATAACCACAATTTTCCTACTATGAAAAAGTATCCACGATGAATGTTCGACTCTCAGAAATTATAGTTCCATCTTACATATACTGAACAATAAGTTTTATGGTATAGTATTTATGGTGACATGCCTAGTTCCTGGTCACCACCTTCTGACATACCCAAGCATTAGTGAGAAATGCAAATTGGTTGACACTTGGTTGGAGCGTGAAATAGAAAAGGACCTGTGCTGCTAATACCACTTCCAGCGAGTGAGATTTTCCATTCACATGATGGAGATGTGCTGTTTGTGGTGTGAATCTGTTGTGTTCATTTGCATTTGCCAGCATTGTGTGAGTGGTGGAGCATATTTCAAAACGTCTCACTGCATTGCTTCATACAGGCTAGTGCTGCTTGTACACACATCCTTGGTTCACACATCTCTTTAAAGAGGCCATATTACAGTACTTTCTGATCTATGTTATAATTTTCTGATCACAAACATACATGGAGTTGTTTTTTGTTTGTTTCACACCTGTTTAACACATAAATCCTGCATATTTAGGGTGAGTTCTTCTCTCAAACCAGTCACAAAAACACTCTCTCTCATCCACTTTGTAATGCCATGTGGTAATACAGGAAGTGCTCCACCGTTACCAGAACCATTTGGATAATTTCAGTCCTGCAATTGCCTCTACTGAACAAAAGGTAAAAAGAGCTGTTAACTTGAAAACTACCGCTGCATGGCATCACAAGTTGGAACAGAGTATTCTGAATTGTGGAGATGTAGACAGACTAAAGAATTACTCAGGTATGTTTGAATGAAACAAAACACAACTTCAGATATGTTTTTGATGAAATAACAGCATTATACCATGGCTTAAAGCTCACAAGAGTCAGCTTTGAATAATATAGGATCTTTAAATAAACCATTCTTTCTTTGTGTAATTAGTAAATGGCAAACCCCCCTGGAAAACTACATTCTAACACATTGTTTCCCAAAAACTGGGTCACAACCATCATGTGGGTCACAAGAGATTTTTTGGGGGGTCACCTTGTTGCGATCTGCAAGTAGGTCTGCAATATACAGTTCTGCCTATACGCCTGATCTGCTGCTGCTTTCTCCTTCTGCACCCTAGACTGGAACACTCTACAAAAACGCAGACAGGCCCACCTATCTCATTGGAAATGTTGAAATGTTAAGACATATTTTGTATAATTTGATTGACTATTTCTTTCTAGTATCGCTGTTTCAGTTGAATGAAAAGAAAAAATGGGCTACATTTAATGTCCAAATAGGCATCTTATGGATCCTTTTATTGCTGGTTCAATTACTGTTTGTCATTGTTTAAAACTTGAGTAATACTAATTGTTCAGAGAGACATGATAACTCAGTCAACAATAAAATATCCTCATTAATGTTCAGTAATGGTCAAATCCACCATTATTTAGTGATTTACAAATAATGGGTCATGAAGGTTTGTGACTTTTAAAATATGGGTCCAGCAGAAAAACGTTTGGGAAGCACTGGTCGGTAACGCTCAGCCCAACCAGCAATAACAGTTTTCTTTACTTAACACAAGACTCAAAGCTTTTTGAGCAGAGCCGGAGCTCACCTGCAGGGGGCCCTGAGCAAAATGCGGTTTGGGTTCAAGTAATGACTCGCATTCCACAACCAGAAAATATTATAGGCATTTGTACGGTTTAGTAGAACATTAATATTTTCCAGTCGACTGATGTGTGATTTGTTTATAGATTTTGTAATATTATGTTAATCTAATGTGGTGGTGCTCTTGGTCTCAAACGTTTACTTCAACATAACACTGATTTACTCATTACAAGCCTCTCACATTATAATGTGATCACGCACTGCCATGAAAGTGTTAAAGTTTCAAGTTAGGATCACGCCATTTTTGTGTTCAATATGAATGAAGTCATCAACTAATTGCACAAATAATTATTGGGTTTTTAATCTTGTTAATATGATCATTACATCTATGCAAATGCATAGGTAAATTAGCACATTCGTATTATGCATGAACTTATTACATTTGCATCTCGTTCACAGGTCATCTTCAAAGGCAAAATGGAAAAGTTCCTCTGATTATGAACCATAACCCTCTGTAAAAATGCACTGGGGGAAGTCAGGTGAGTCTGGTCCCTGTGAACACAGACAAAAAGCAGACGGAAGCCTCCTCTGTCTCCTCTCTCAATTCACGCCTCTGTAAGTGTCATTTTGAGCAGCGCTAAGTGAGTTTGCCTCTTCTTTATTATGCTCTCCACAACAAAGGCCCCATTATCCTCCACTGTCTATATTTAAGGAATAACTGTTTGGCACAACAACAACAAATTATGTGCGGTTATGACTTTTACAATGCAACATAATGAAATAAGTTCCACAGCATTTTTCTATTTATTACAGTTAATGCTTTTTGTAATGGCGTTCATCTCATTTAAATAAAACATGCAACTATGTCACAACGCAATTAGAGTTATGGATGATTCTCAATAAAAAACAGAAAACTAGTTTGATAACTACAAATGTGCCATTACTTTACAGTGATATGATGTTGTCAAAATAATGTTAATGTAATGTTAACAACTGAGGTAGCTACACTGCTGGATTGCTTAGAACTGTTGATGTTGCATATTCTCCAATTTGTCCATAGCCCAGAGTACATTTTCTATAAGGGGATTAGCATCATCAGCATGGCAAATACTGGCATCCACAAACACATGAGAGATCGTTACATTACCAAGTTTCTGTGTAAGCTAAAGGCAAAGTAATGCTATTATGGATAATAGTTTGCCCATGTATAATCTGATTTAATTAACCAATTAACACATAAATAACTTAAATATGCAATTTAATAAGCAATCAGCAAGTATACAGGGTATGCCATTATGTAATTAATACACAAATTAAACACAACTGCTGCAAAAGAAATGATTTTGTAGACTAAAATAAATAAACACAAAAGTTACACTGTCATCTAATTCATCTTATTTGAATATATTACTAAATAATGTATGTAAATATAATTTTGAACTGTACAGAACAAATGCTATTAGTTTGTTAGTTCATATTTCAGCCTTTTGCCTATTTTGAACTTTTACCAGAATTCCATGATTAAAAGTTATTCCAAGTTCATCTCAGTCACAATTCCTGTCTATATAGCAATAGCAATTACATATTTTCTTCCAAATAGTTCAGCCCTATTGCTAACGAAATGCTCTGTAGGGATATAAAAGAAGGAAGGAATAAGATGTAGCACGATTTAAAGTTCAGGGACGCACTGTGCACAAAGTCTCTATAAGACAGTAAAGAGAGGTATTCCACCTCGAAGGCTCTTCAGAGAGAAGAGAGGAGATAAAATAAAAATGATGTCTGAGCCTTCATGTGGAAACTAACAAAACTGCAAAACATTACCAAAGATGACATCAGAGAATAGAGAATATAGAGAATATGCTTATTCGATAGTCCACTGTGGCCTGCAACGGACTAAAGAGACTGTTCACTTCTGATAAGTTAAAATATTTGGGTCTCCAACTTCACACAAGGTATAAGAAAAATGAATTACACACACAAGAAGACAAAGCAGAAGAAATTGCTCTCGGAGTGTGGAGACAATGACAAATAGCCAACCTAAAAACTCACTTTGTTTATAGAAAGGCGTAACTGATAAAGCACATGTAATGATTCTATCCACACAGTCAAAGATGGATCTGTGTGGGAGAAAAGTGCAGCTATGGATGTGC